TTGCTAAAAAGAAAATAAAAATTTTCTATCTTTCATTGTTTGTACCCATAAAAAAAAATTTATTTATAAAAAATATTTTCTTTCAATTTTCTTCAATTAGTTCGTCGATTTTCTTTTATTAATTACCCTCTATTATTTTCTATTCTAATCTCAAACAAAACAAACAATAAAATAAAAAATCTACTTTTTCTTAGGGACTTCTTACTTTATCTTCATCATAATTGTAGATTATTTCCTATTTTATTTTTTGCTTATGTGTATAAAAAAAGGGAAGGTCATGTCTGCTATTGTTTTACAGTCTTAATAGCATTTGTTGGCCTCATAGTGCAAAAAAAAAAACAACACTGATGGCTTTACTTAAGATCAAACGGTGAGTGGCTCTCTTGATTAAAATTGGATGGCTGGATGGTATGAGAATCATAGATCTTCTATGCTGCAAGGGGAGTATATATATCTGTAACTATCTTGTATATCTATAAGTGTGACATTTTATCGATAATGAAAGATACACTTTCACGTCAAGGGGATCCGCTTTCCCCTTTCTTTTTTACTATATATGCAGAATGCTTCAGTTTGATGCTTACCAATGTAATGAGGAATGGTCATTTTGTAGGCTTTCAAATGCCAAATGGGGGACCGTGTATTTCAAACTTGCAATATGCTGATGATACCTTTCTTTTTTGTAAGCACAGTAGGCGCAGATTGCAAATATTGCTACTTTTTTGAAGTGTTGTCAAATTTAAAGGTTAATTTTGGAAAAAAAGGTATGGTGGGTGTAAATTGCCCTGATGCAGAGGTTTCCTCTTTCGCAAAGGAGTTTGATTGTAAGATTGAATTTTTCTCAATGATCTACTTGGGTATTTCAGATGGTCGTCTCCCTATTACAGTTTGAGATAAAATTTTACAGTGTATCCAAGTTAAGCTAGATTTGTGGAAATTGAAGTATTTATCTTTTGGGGGAGGATTACCACTAAGGCATGCCTGTCAAACTTGCCTATTTATCAGATGCCTATTATACAAATCCCTGCTTAGATAGCAAAGAAAATAGAGATTATAATGAGGAACTTTCTGTGGGGTCCTCCGTGGAGAAGAAAAACTTTCATCTCCTTCGTTGGGATAAAGTGTATACGTCTAAAAAAGAAGGGGGCTTGGGATTAAGAAAATCAAACTGGTTAATCAAGCTCTGCTCTGTAAATGATGGTGGAGATGTCTTACTCTTAAAGACCACCTTTGGTACAAAGTGATTGTTTCAAAGTATGGAACAGATAGGTTTGGCATGTGGGTGGGGAATAGGAATGGAGTAAGGGGCATGTCAGCATCTGGAGGGCTATCCATTCGTGTAAAGGCTTTATATATCGTGATATTTGGTGGTGTGTGGGCAATGACTGCAATATCTCCTTTTGACATCATAAATGGTTGGGAGACAGCCCAATGAAATTAAGTTTTCCTCTTATTTATCATTTGATGACTAATCAAGAAGCCATTATTGTTGAGTTTTTTGTTCGTAGGGGTAGTAATGTTGAGTAGAATATTACTCTGCCTTACAATAGGGTTTCTAATTTGGTTTTCTCTCAGTTTGCTGATCTTCATAGACTATTGAAAGATGTTTATATCCCACATAATACTTTTGATGAGGTAGTTTGGGAGATTGACAAAAATGAGATTTATTCAGTTAAATCTATGTATCATTTACTCTACCATGATAGGGTGCGATGGTCTAACAATCGTTTGTAACGTGCCCTTTTTTCTTACAATAATTTCAATAAATATTTATTTTTCTTGATTTGGATTTGGTTATACACCAGTTCTATCTTTCATGTCTCTTTCCACTTCTCTCAATAGATCTCCTTCTAGTCACTAAACCATCTGCATGTGGCTGAGCATTATCATGTCTCTTTCTCAAATTGTTAGAGAGAAGAGTCGAAGTCACATCCTCCATCTATATGGTATGTTTTCCACAGAGCAATGTTGTGATTAGATGCTCATACGATTGAGGGAGTGAGGATAGAACCGGGCTGAACCGAATAGAACCGGATGGGAACCGGCGGTTCCACTCCAGAACCGGGCGGTTCCCGATTCTTGGTTGGAACCGGCACGGGCACGCGTGTTTCCGAGTCGAACCGAACGAGTCCGGTTTGACTCGCCGTTTTTTAAAATACTGGTTCTAACAGATCCAACAAATCTGATGACCCATCAAACTGTTTACATAGCCTAGATCTTGGCAGTGTGACAGTTGCAAGACCGAATCAACTCAACGAATTCGCTTGGGGTCTTGCAAATAGCCAAAGGCCTTTCATATGGGTCATTCGTGAAGATCTCGTATTCGGAAAATCGGCAACATTAGAAAAAACATTTGTCGAAGAAACCAAAGAAAGAGGGCTAATCCTGAGTTGGTGTAACCAGTTTAAAGTCTTGTCACACCGTGCAGTTGGGTGCTTCCTAACTCACAGTGGATGGAATTCGACAATTGAGAGCATTAGCAATGGTGTGCTAATGATATGTTGGCCCTTCTTTGGTGATCGTCCAACAATTTGCAGGTATGTTTGCAAGGAATGGGGCATTGGGATGGAAATAAACAATGATGTTAAGAGGGAGGAGGTGAAAGCATTGGTGAGGCAGTTGATGGAAGGAGAGAAGGGTAAAGAGATGCAGTTAAAGGCCAAGAAATGGAAAGAGATCTCAAAAACTGTTGTTCAATTAGGAGGCAGCTCTTACAATAACCTAGAGAGGCTTATAAAGCAAGTGCTTCCAGAGAAACGCTGATCAAATCTACTTGTTCACACATATACTTGTTTAATGTATAACCAGTCATTTGCTCTTGTAGGCAGGGTTTAATTGGTTCTCTCACAGATGTTGCTGCAAGTATGTGAATAATGTTGAGAGTTAGATGCACTCTTGTGCATCTAGTCTTGTGAGTACTATTTATAAAAAGCAACATCTATTATTGTGTAATTTAATTTTGGGAAATTTACTTTAGGGTGTAGTTGGCATACGGATCCATCCGTAGGTGTAGATGTAAAGTGCACCTTCAAATTTTATCATAGTATATAATTTTGATGTAAAATGTTCTTAGAATTATCTCAAAATCTATTTTTATATCTAATTATAAAATTTTAAATCTCAAAAATGGTTAAAATCAAGTAGATCTATAAACATATGAAAATCTTGAAAATAAATGGTGTAGATAATATATTGTAACATATACTATTTCTGAGACAAAATCCTTTTATTTTTTATAATCATACATCTCGATGTTGAGATGATCAATCAAGCAGTTTTTCAACATTAAAACTACATTTTTCATGGAATTTTTGAGGGACATTCGTAGTTCTAAGTTATATGGTTACATCCTTCTATAAACTTTTTCCGTTACTTTAAAAAACCTCACACTTATGAAGCTTGCAAAGTTTTTTGAAAGTCCTATATCCAACTACACATATATATACTGAGATTTTCATAATTTCCATATTCATGACTTCAACCCCTCTAAAAAAACAAAAAAACACAACTCCAATCCCTACGATAAAGTGTACCAGCGGCCCCCCTCTCTTTTTCAACTTTTCATCTATGTCTCCCTCCCACAGCTCATCTTTATTGATAGTAGGAAATTAAGAATCTTAGATATTTGAAATCCTAAAGAAATGTTAGATAGTTCCCCTCTTCAATAATTTTGAGATAGTTTCTTTCTCTAAACATTTTTAAATAGTCTTACTCTCTAAAATATGATATAGTTGTTCTCTCAAATTTTAAGATACTTACTCTTTTTAAAGGTTAAAATTTGAGATAATTTCTCTCTAAAAATATTGGGATAGTTTTTTTCTAAATCTTTTTATGTACTCTCTCTCTCAAAAATTTGATATAGTTATTCTTTTAAGTTATACGATACTTTCTCTCTCTAAAACTTCAAGTTTCAGATAGCTTCTCTATCCAAAATTTTGAAATAGTTTCTCCCTTAAAAATTTGATATAGTGTCTTTCTAAAATTTGAGATACTTTCTCTCTCTAAAGTTTAAAATTTGAGATACTTTCTCTTTCTAAAACTTAAATTTTGAGATAGTTTCTCTCTAAAAATTTTTGAGATAGTTTCTCTCTCGAAAAATTTCATGTGCTTTCTCTAACTAAAATATGATATAGTTTCTCTCCAAAATTTTAAAATACATTTTCTCTCTAAAACATAAATTTTGCGATAGTTTCTTTCTCCAAAAATTTTGAGATAATTTCTATCTTTAAAATTTTCTAGGTAGTTTTTCTCTCTAAAATTTGATATAATTTTTATCTTTAAAATTTTAATATAGTTTCTCTTTCTAAAATTTCAAATTCGATATAGTTTCTCTCTAAAACTCAAAATTCGAGATAATTTCTTTATCTTAAAAAAAATGAGATATTTCTGTCTCTAAATTTTTTGGAAGTTTCTCTTTCTAGAATTTATAATAATTTCTCTCTAAAAGTTTAAGAATACTTTCTCTCTCTAAAATTTTAAGAATACTTTCTCTCTCTAAAACTTAAGATTTGATATAGTTTCCCTCTAAAAGATTTGATATAGTTTCTCTCTAAGAGTTTTGAAATAGTTTCTCTATCCAAAAAATTGAGATAGTTTATCTCTCTAAAATTTTTGTATGTACTTTCTCTCTCTAAAATATGATAATTTCTCTCTAAAACTTGAAACTTGAGATAGTTTCTCTCCCTAAAATTTCGAGGTAGTTTATCTCTCTAAAAAAATTTGTACCTTCTCTCTCTAAAATTTTAACATACTTTCTCTCTTTTAAAATTTTAATATACTTTTTCTCTTTAAAACTTAAAATTTGAAATAGTTTCTCTCTGTAAAATTTTGAGTTAGTTCATCTTTCTAAAAAAAAATTGGTACTTTATCTCTCTAAAATTTTAACATATTTTCTCTCTCTAAAATTTTAACATACTTTCTCTTTTTAAAAGTTAAAATTTGAGATAGTTTCTCTCTCTAAAATTTTGAGATAGTTCATCTCTCTAAAAAAATTTGGTACTTTTTCTCTCTAAAATTTTAACATACTCTCTCTCTTTAAAAGTTAAAATTTGAGATAGTTTTTTTCTCTAAAAATGTTGAGATATTTTATCTCTTTAAAAAAATTTAGGTATTTTTTCTCTATAAAATTATCATAACCACCAAATGCTCCCTATATTTCGGGTCTGAGGGAGCCAATGAGTGAAATCCATGGGTCTTGGAAATGCAAAAAAAACATGTTTTGATGTGGAGAGAGTGGAAGTGAGAGAGATTAAGAGAGGGCTTCTAGATATCTAATAAATAATGATTTACTAGTAAGATGAGCGCCCGCAATGGCACATACCAACGGAGTATTTTTCACGTTTTAAAATTTTACGCTATATCTACCCAGACAATAAATAACCAAAGAAAACATTTATCATGATTTACACTGCATAATTTCATGCTTCCTTCACATAATTAACTTTTTATAATTAATTAGAAGAGTAGAAAAAAAGCAAAAAAGTATAATTATAGAATTATTTCTTTTAGTGAGAGAGACACCCAATACTAGGGCACCATGTTTTTGAAAGGAAAAGATTGTTTACCAATTTAGCCAAAAATAAATAAAGATTATATACCTGTAGAGAGATGGACTGGCGTCTCATCCTATTTCCTTGACCTGAAGTAGGAAAGAAGAAGTAGTTTTTAGGTCTTTGGATTAGGTTTTTGTACTTGTAACAGGACAGATGAGAAAGGAAGAGGAAGCAGAACATGAAGGAAGAGGAAGGAGGAACAGGAACAGTAGGAGATGAGATGAAACCATGAAATGAGAAAGTAAAAGTGAATTGTAAAATCCTATTCAGTATTTCCCTTTCCGTTAAAATTAAATGGCTTTATTTTTTTAATTTAAAATTTTGAAAAATATCTAAAATGTCATTGCTTAATGCCATTGGAAAGATTTCAATGGATTAATTTGCCAAGAGTAACATATTTTTTTCCAAAACATTACATAAGTTAATGAATTATGAGTATGTTGAATTTGGCTCAAAAAATGGAGTGGAAGTCAGATATATAAAGATAATATAAGTTGAAAATAGAAATTGTGGTTATTTAAGGCTACATTAAAGACATTTTGCTATAATAATTTGTCCATACCTGAAAACGATCCTGTCCTACTTGACAAATTTTTCAAATTTTTTATCTAAGTTTTAAATGCAACAATAATCTTCCTTCTTTTTCACGATAAAAAAAAGAAATTATTTTATTTGGGGTGTAGAATGAAACAAAAACAACAATACAAATAGAACAATTACATTAACAAATAGCAATAACTATAACCCATGGTATTGCATTTTTAGTATATAGGGAAAAATACGACCTTCATTATAGGATTATAGTTAACTAAAACTTAAAACACCCTAAAAAGTGAAAAAATGTTTCATCCGTATGATTGCATTGTATGACCGATGAAAAAACAAAAAAATAAAAAAAGGTCAATTAATCTAACTTTTGCAGATAAAGAGGAAGTAACAAAATTATTTCTTTTACTAAAAAATTCCAAAAAGTAAACCCAATATTTAAATCACGCCCTAATTCCAAGTTACCTAAATCTTTAGTTGTGACTAAATATCTCTCTCGTTTAAATTTTTTTTTTGTAATGATTCTCATGATTTAGATAAAACAAGATTTTTTGTTTAGTTACTCTTCCACTAACTTTTGCCTATTATTTTGAGATATATTATTGTTTTCGGAAAATACTTTTTTTTAGGAATACTTTGGTGGTATTGTATTTTAGTACAATTTTTAAAGGTAATATATTGATGAAATTTTTTATTTTTTATTTGAAATTGTTTGTTAAGTCTAGGATCTTACTTTAATCCCACTTTTAATCTGTTTATCTCAAAAACAAAATTCAAGTATTTCAAATCACTAAAGATAAGGGAAGTTCAAAGAAAATTATAGGTAAGAAGTTTTTTTTATGAAAAACTTATTTTGAAAAAATAATTATGTATTTATATTGGTTCAATAAAAAGCTACATCTCTTGTGGGTCTTTTAATGAACTCAAAGTCTTTAATAGATTTCAAAAAAACCAAAAGTTTTTTTTCTAGAAGAACTTCTTTTGTGCAAAGGCTTGCTAAGTATGACATATATCAGTTGATAGTAGTAGAATAGCGTTGGGCAAAAGAGATTATTTGAAATTAAAAATTTGTTGGTACTGTGTTTAAGAATACTCTGAATACTCATTTTACATATGGAATCACTATATACATGGTAATTTATTATAATACTAAGCCATTTATAGGTAAAAAAAAAAAAAACATCTCAGAGCAGGGTTTCCTGGAAAACTTTACTGAATTCCCACTCGTTACTTCCTTGGGGGTTGTCCTCATGAGAAACCTTTATGCATAGTGTCAACGATACATAAATCATGTAAAACTGGTTTTAGCCTTTAATTTGAATAGACAGATGGGATAGCTTCAACCAAAGCGTCCAATATAGTTTCTGACTCAAAAAAAAAATTTTGTAGTAAAATCATTTTTCCTGTGAGATTTTCGCATACAAGAAAGGCACCACACATTTTTTTTATAGTTCCAAAAAGTGTGCTATTGAATATAATTGTATTCCAATGGTGAGATAATTAGAATATATCCAGTATGCCCCTACTCCACGTTGGATGAAGGTGAAAGGATATTGTCTCATTCTATAAATGGGACATGAATTTCACTTTTTGCTAAGTAAGTTTTTAATGAACTTCCTCTCTAGAAAAGAGGTCACTATAGTACTCTAGATCTTGTTATACTTA